TTCTGCCTGTCCCTGGTAAAATGTCAAGTTAATTTAAAGATGATTCTGCACCTTTCTGACATTTTTATCCAGGATGTGTCTGCATTAAAGGGGCTAAAGGCAGACCTTACAGGCCTGGGACAGGAAATAAAATGAAATAAAATTCAGTCTTTCAGTCCCATGTCCAGCCAGTAGTAGGCAGGACCTGTCATACGTGGCCTTACTTTTGGTGACACAGCATAAGCAGTGCACAAACCATCATCTTGCTCAGCAGAAGCATGGGTTGTGTGCAAGCTTGGGCTTGAAATCAAACCCACATCCTCCCAAATCTGTATGGAGAAACATGCAAAAGCATGGCTGGAGCCACTGTGCTAATTTCAGCCTATTTTTGTTCTGGTCACACACAACATCCATACAAATTGTAATGATTTTTGTGAAACATCTGGTCTGCTAATCAAGCTGTCCCCAGGGCCCATTGCAGCACGCTGGACCACTCCAGGGGCACTCAGCACCAGCCTGGAGCACTGTTTAGAGCAGATCAGGGGTTCAGGAATGCAAGGGACATCTCCATCCGTCCTTGGAGGAGCGTGTGGTGTGGGAGAGGATGGATGGGCCACTGCACTCTGGTGTTTGAGCCCCATCACCCCTCAGCTCATGCATTGCTGCGGGATGTGACATCTGTGCTGGTGTTCTGCAGAAGTTTCATGCAGGGGAACGCTGGGAAGGGGTTTGTAGGCCTTTTCATGAGCCCCAAGACCTGAACCAAAGCAGGGATCCATTTGCAGTGCTGCATGCTGTTCCCCCAGGCTGCTGCGAAGGCAGCAACGTGCAGGATTCACACTCGCCCCGGTCAGTGCACGAGAAGTAGTCTGGAAAATCGGGAAGAATAAAAGCTCCATGCATCAGGGATCAGATTGGCTTTTGGTTTCAGTTCAGAAAGCAATTTAAAAAGCAATATATTGAATGGATATCTATACTTGCTAAAGCCTCTTTAAATTTAAAAGGCAGCAGCGTGTTTTGCCGTAGTTTTGTGGATGTGCTGCTGTAATTCTGTGTGTGCTCCTCAGCCCCAGCACTGAGTACCTCTGTGAGGCTGCAGCACTGCGGCTGCAGCATTCAACCAGGGGAATTTAATTTTGCTGCTGGGGTTTTAATATTCCTCCATCGTGCTTCTTCTGTTTGAGGCTGTGGACTAATTATGGCCAAGTTTAAAGGGCCTGGTCTGTCACACTCTGCAAACAGTTTGAAGTTGGAGAGAATCCATTTGAGAAAATGAGGAGGCTCAGTGGTGGAGCTCATAACTCTGAGAAATGTTGCCCAGCTGCCTCCATGCAGCAATTTTATAAATACGTGTGTGTATACGTGTGTGTGCCCTTGCGTAGCTGCCTAATGGGGTGGTGAGTGCCCAGAGCTTGGGTGTCATCTGAGATGTCCTTGCTGGCAGATACTTATTTTTTATGGCCAGTGCTACACAGAAGTCCCAATAAAGTGAAATTTGGAGCTTTGTAGAGGCCAATGCTTACTCTTTTGGAATGCCTTGACATTGTTCTGCTTTTTCTGAAGAGTGTGTTTAGTTCTTTTCCTAAATGGCATTGGGAAGAGAAGCCTTGATACTAAGACAGAAAATGCCATGTTGAGTTGAGTGTGTTTGGTTATATGATTTCTGCATCCTCTTGGCTTTGCTGCACCTGGTAGACCAGCCTCTTCTTCATCACCAGCTTTCCATTTTAAATGTCAGCCTTGGGTGATTGTGTTGATGTTGATGGCCTGGGGCCAGAACAGTGCTTTTTTGTGATGGCAGAGCCTTTCCTTGGCTTTGGTCAACATTAGTTAAGTCAGGAGTGTATCATAGACTTCCTGTTGGTCAGCATTTGATGAAAAGAGATGGTTTTTGTTGTAGGACTTGGGGCAGAAGGCTGATCCCTGGGGAGCTCTTTGCCTGCTCTGACACAGAAGTGTGGCTGTTCTTGAAAGCAAAGCAAAAGCTGGTGGCACAAACCCAGGATTCAGAAAAGCACCCTCAAAGTTAGCCAGTCCAGCCTAAAGTTACACTCAGGTTGTGTGGGCAGCAGCATTGCAGGGCCAGGATGTCCCTTCCCAGGTGAGGAGCAGCTGGGACACACACCTGGGATCTTCAGGAATGCACTGAGTTGGTACCAAAGCACCCGTGACCAGAGAGTTTTCTCTCCTCTGCCACGTGATGATGTAGAAACACACCAGTGTCAGCACGTTCATGTCTTGAACACAGGGTCATTCCCTGCGGAGCACTGGTGTGTACAGTCCTTCCCAAAGACGACTGGGGCTGGACAGGACTCCCCAAAAGCTCACTCTAAACTTTAACCGGTCTGTGTTTCCTATTGCAACCATCCAAACCATTTGCTAATCATAACTTTGTCATTCCAGCTGCAGCCAACATGTTGTTTGACGTGGATATTTGTTCGCACTTACAACCGCTTGAGAACTTTATTTTGTGTAACCTGTCGATCTCTGTCCCCGGATGGGGAAGCGAGATGCACTGTCCAGTTTGCACTGTTCCTTGACTAATAATCTCTTCCAGCACATCAATACAAGTTTGCTTCCAGCAGATTCTCTATTTATTGTAAAAGCTGACGTAACTTTTTTTATTTCAGGAAGACAGTAAATTGAGACTATTTATAGATGCCAAGATGCTATCTCAGGAATTAATACTCAGTTTTACAACCCCTTCTAAACAATGGCTTTCCCCCCACCTCCGCCACCATTTCCCCTTCCACCATTTGCTTGGTTAAAACAAATGGGGATTGCTAACCAAAACCAAAGCAAAGCCCTACTCTTGGTCTCCTACTGGCTTTGGAAGGTTTTCCCTGCAGCCCCCAGAGCTCCTGCAGGAGAACAAGAGCTGGCCTCCTTGAGGGTGCCTTAGATTTGGTTGCCAAGATGAGAACAGCCTACATTGGCAGTGGAAACAGGCTAATGATGGCTTGATAATCTATTATGCAAATCTTGGTACAGTTTGTTAAACTGTGCAGGGTTTATTTGTTTTGCTTCTATAATTAAAGCATGTAGATCTTTGTATCTGTAAGTACTGTGTATTCCATGTACAATTCTTGTCTTTGCTGCTGCCTCAGGAGTTCAGCCCTGGGCTGTCCTCATCTAAATTGCCAAGAAACAGGTCCTTGTTTCCACTGCTGCCTCTGCCCACGCAGGGGACCTGTCCCAGGTTGCCTGCCAGCATGTCACCGAGGGGAAACGCCGCTGTGAATTGTCTGTCCTTGCTGCAAAACCCAAGCTCCGGGCTGCCGTGCAGGGCCACGCGGTGCAGCGCTGCTCACCCCGCGCTGTTACTCACTCAAACACTGCCTGCCTCCAGCCAGGCTGGGCCTGGGCTCCAGGGATTTATTTCAGTGACACGTTCTGGGGAGCCTGCCCGCTCCAGCCACTGAACCCCGCCACAGAATACCTGCTCCAGGTGGAAAGCAAACAACCTCCAGCTACTGAATAAGCCAGTAAATTGGGTAATGTGGTTACATTTGGTTTAGACCTGTTGGTGTGCAGGAAATAGCTGTCAGTAAAAGCCTTCAGATTTGGTCAGTCTTTTAAAACTGCCTGTTGCAAACTCCTGGAAGGGACAAAGCATCTCTCCATTGCCAAGGCAGTGCCCCCCAAGAAATTTCCAGTGGGATGTAGTCCATATGGAGTACAGTCAGCTTCAGACTAACAGCAAAAAAACATCCAGGATATTTTAATTACCCATAGCTGTTCAACCAGCAGAGGGACTGGTAATGTTTGTCCACAGTTGCCAGTTCTAGAACATCTTTCATGCTGATAAAAATGGTTCATCGTGCAGGTGGTGGCTGGGAAGCTGGAGGAGAGGCAGGAGCAGACTGTTCCCTAGCCAGGGGTGCTCTGATGAGGCAGTGTTTGAGTGTGTAGTAGCGACATGCCGAGGCTCAGCTCTTCATCCTGCTCTGGAGCTTCTGTTTTGTCCCCACCAACCAAACCGTTGGTGTCGGTGTTCTCTCCTGTCTCCTGTTCCCTTGATTTTGCAACCACCAGTAATTGTTCTGGCAAGGACCTGGAAAAAGAGAAAAATTTACTGTTTTCCTCAGGCTCATAGCTTTTGAACTGGAGGCATGTCTTCTAAACAGTGCAACTCACTTCAAATGCTTTTTGCCTTTCATTTTATTATTGCTTGTCACGCAATGTTCTTTGAAAGCTTGCTCATATATTATCTGTTCCATTTTTTCCATTTTCCCTTTTTTTGCATGCTGTTCCTCCTGTTTCTTCCCTTCCTCCAATCCTCTGTTCCCGTGTGTAGACACAACGGCGACGACAGAACCAGCAGTTCACGGTTGGTATCACATTCCTGTTTATCTTATTTCTCAGCATTGCTGAGTGGCAAGACAAGCCTGGGAAGGGGAAGCCAAAAAGGGAACTGGAGTCTTCAAGGGAAAACTGTGTTTCAGGTGGACTCATCTCATAAATATGACATGGGTTCTAAGGCTGGAAAGTCTGTCTGCTCTTGTCATTTCTGCTGTGAGCTCCCCAGCTGATCATCCTGGTGCCAGGCAAACACAAGCCCCGTGGAAGTGGCATCCAGGCCCAAGCAATGCCAAATGGTTCTCCACCCATTGACTGAGAGAGTCACTTCACACATGAAAAAGAAATTAGTTTTTTTTCCTTTTTTAGATTTTTTTTCCTTTTAGATTTTTGAGCATTTTTCTTGCATTTTGAGTTAGTTTTGAAGACAGGGCATCCAGCGGGTCTGCTGGCACAGGGCAGCACTGGGGATTCTGGGATGCTCCACAGAGGAGCGCTCGCCTCCAAGGTCGGCAGGGAAGTTTGCGTTATTACACTGCAGAAGGAGATTGGGAAAACAAATAGCAACACTTTCCTCTCAGCATAGCAGTCTAGCAAAGTAACCCTTCTCGTCTGCTCGAGGCAGTCTAGCTAACAGCTTGACAGCTTCCTGAGCTTCCTCCATTCCCCGGCGAGCCTACGTACACGCTGCAGGCTGGAAGTTGAGCATCCCATTTTTTTGGCACATGCTTACTTTTCAGCTGAAGAACCAAAACCTCTGACAATTTTTAATTACAGCTAATCCATGTTGGACTTTGCTGTTCTAGTTTCTTTTAACTCTGATAAATTGTTTTTTTACTGACAGAAATCCCTAGCACAGAGCACCCCATTCTCCTGCCTGCTCCCCTTGAGGCGTTGCTTGGGTGAGGTCAGAGGCAGGACTGAGTGAAGCAATCATTCAGTAGCAGTGTGCCATATCAAGTGGAGGGGCTTGCACTTCTTATCCCAAATAACTTACCTACCTGGATGCATTTTCCCACTTGGCATAAAGATCAGAAATTTTTGGGCACACTTGTGTTTTGTCTGTGTGTCGATCTCCCTGTGTGTGTTAAATGTCAAGAGCCAGCCAGCATTGCTGAATTTTGTAGCTACATGTTTGTTGATCCCTACATTTTGAGAAGATCAGGTAGCCCTGATGGTGGCACAACTCCCAACATCCTTTCTAGGTGTTTCTGCATCAGGAAAGTCTCAGTGTAGGCATGCATTGGACTCTGCAATGGGGACAAGCTGGGCAGATGCTCAGTGGCAAACCCTTGCCCCATTTTTTAAAGCAATTCCTGATGTCTTTCATTCTTTGTTCTGAGGAAGCCATAAAAAGCCTGTTTATAACTCGAGGACTTCCCCCCTCCATGGGGAGGATTGCTGCCAGGGAGGTGCCAGCTGAAATGACAACCTATCCCAGTCAAATGAGCTGCCACAAACATTCCTGCCTTAAAACCAGCCAGTTTGTTCTGATTCCCCCATGCTTGCCCTTGTGGGGTGCTTTTCCCGTGAAGACTCTGGGTTTCTTTCCAAGCTTGTGTTGCTGGAGTGTGTATGGAGTATACCAGGTGTTTCTGTATGTTGGCCATTTGTTCTTTCCGATGTCCGATGGGAGTGAGCATGTCTGTGAATGACTAGAAATGCATGGGCATGAATACAGCCAAATGGATTTTCTCCAAAAACGATTTCAAATGAATTGGGGGAAGGAAAAAAAAAAACAAACCAACTGAAAAAAAAAAACCAAAAACCAAACCAAAAAACAACCCAAAAAAGAGCTTGCTAGCAAAGAAAATGGAATGTAAGGCCAGTGTGGAACCAGCACAATGCTTCAATCGGGGAAAGAGGGTTTTGAGCCATTTAAAGTTTTGGAGTGTATCCTAGAGGACTGGGGGGAAGGAGTCCTGTGTGTGTGTGTGCATGTCCCAGCAGCAGCCAAGGCCCTGCCATTCCCGTTTCCTCACGGAATGGAGTTGACGGCAGCGATGCATGAGTGACCTAACGCACGAACGTTGTTAACTCTTTTGTTGAAAAATGAGAGCTTAACTGTGAATTTTCTGATGCACTTTCTCCTTTCTCTGCACTGTTCATTGCCAGAGCTCCAATAACAGCATGGTCATGGCCGGCAGGAAGGCTTGTGCTTCCGCTGCACCCCACTGGTGGAGCTGGGGTTTCCCAGCTTCAGCCCTCCCTCTCGGTGTGCCCCCGTGGGGTCAGGGTGCCCGTGGGGCTGAAATCACAGGTCCCACTGTTTGAGCTGGAATATGGGCAGAACTTGGTGGAGCCGGGAGCGTAACAACCTGGAGTATCTGCACCACTCAGTCTGGGGGAGAAAGCGCTTTTTCTGCCATGCCCCTTCCATTTTCCTCCCTGCCCCTCTCCCCAGCATAATCAGTTTTTAATGTTCTGGCCCCTGTTGCCCCTCAGTGGCCAGAGAGCTCACCCCTCACAAGGTGCTGGCCTTTGTGGAGCCCCTCAGGTGAGACACCCAGCTCATTTTTCCCCCTACACAAGCAGGATATCTCTAAGCAGCCATGACCCTGGGCACACTGACTTCATGTCCATTTTTTTTCAAATTCTGCCCTTACCCTGTTGTAAGCAGAGGGCTTTAAATGCTTAGAGTGATTCCCCAGGGTGTGGGTGCTGCCCGCACAGGGCATTGTGCTTGAGGCCCTGTCCATCCATCTGCTCAGCAATGGGGGGCTCAGGGCTGCTCCCCACTCCCCTGGCAAGGCAAGAATCAGGCAATGCTGCCTCAGCACAGGCAGAATTTCTGCTTATTCTCATGAAAAAGGTAGGGGGTTTTAGCCATTTGGAAAAGCCTCCTCTCAAGCTGGCAAAGCAGGAAGCCTGGAGTGAAGGTTAAAATAAGGAAAACACCCCAGTCACAAGTGAAGAGTGATAAGAAAACACTTGGCCCATAATGCAGCAGGTAAATTATTTTACAGGCTGGAAATCCTTCCCTGAAGGCCTGTGTAGGTTTTGAATTGTGGCCTTAGCAGGTTTGGTACAAGAATAGGTAACACTATTGTTTTATGCTCTTGTTCCTTTTACTGATAGTTGTTAGTCCCTGAAAATGAGTTTGCTTGGCTGAAACCAAAGCCCGGCTGCACCAGAGCCCCGGCCAGTCGTACATCCTGCCTGGTGCCACAGAAAAGCATTTTCTGCACTGCCATCACCAAGCAGCTCTGCCAGCCCAGCTGCCTCCTTCCCCCTTGGAAATGCCCTACTTTAAAGTGCAGCTAATAGTGAATCCGTTCCTCAATTTATTTTACAGCTCCCATCCTTGGGGCGGTTGAATAAAACATCACAGCGCTGCCTGCGCGCGCTGCGGGTCCGTGCGGCACCGCCACGCGCGGCATGAAACGGAATCCCTAATTGCTTATTTAGAGCCCGAGACGGGAGAGAAATTGGCTTTTCCTTAAAAACTGGATGTAGCGTGGGAACCCACAGGAACCTGAATATGCCCGGAATGCCTGGTCCTCGTGTGAGCACCTTGTTGAGCTGCAGGACGCACTCACCGTGCCGGCTCTGCCTGCCAAGGATTTATCATTTCCAGGGAAATGGAGCAGAGTGAAAAGTTCCTTTTCATTTCTCTGACAGGAGAAGTGGCAGACTTTGAGTTCATCCCTTCAGAAGTGAAAAGAAGGGGCTTTAGTATGAAAGTTTAATGAGAAAAATCAAGAAATAATTTACCACCTATTTAAATGCCTCACAACAGGTTTTAACACTGGCCGGTGGCATTTGTGAGTGTCCCAGGTGCAGGGAGAAATGGAATTGTGGAATTGTTGCAAATTTTATTCTGAAAAGGATTCTTGGGTTTTTTTTGCTTCATAAAAAATGCAACATTGCCCTTTTTCATCAGTGAGAAAATGTAGTTCCTTGAAAGGGAACTCTCTACAGAAGCAATTTTGGAGAGAGAAAAGTTGAAGGGCTCCTCTGCCAAGTGCAGCTTTGTATGGCCGATGGTTCTGTGAGTCAACTGTTGTATTTATAGATAATTTATAGGAAAAAGGCTCCTGAAAATCTGAAAAGGACTCCCTGAAACCCAAGAGTGGCACACAAGTATATTTCCTGCTATTAATCTAAATGGCTTCCCACTTCAGGAGGTAATACCAACATAGCTTCCTGGTTTGATGTATTTAAAAACCAGCCACTGAAAATGAGTTTCATTTTTAAAGAGCAGTGTATATATAAAAATATACCTATTGGTGCTCTGCAGTGGGGCTAAGTCTGCACATTGACCATACTGCACTCACAGCTTGGCTATTTAACAATCAGCTCTGGTAGCAGTCCGTGAGCTGATGATCCCAGGTTCCCCAGTGCCCAGGGATGTGGGATCTCTTTCATGGGATTTTTTTTTCTTTGCTTATGCATTTGCTTTTAGTGGCCAGCAGCAAGGGTGAGTCCTGGAAGTCACAGCCCACGGGGTAACATTGCCCCACCCCACATTTCAGTAAGTCTGGGTGGCCTCCTGGCACTGGTTTGCCCTGTCACTGGTGCTGAGATGTCCACCCGGGGATGCTCTGCCTGCAGACCCAGCACTTCCTCAGACTCCCGAACCAAGCAGCACTAATGCCCTCACAGACAGTGCTGCCTGCCTGTGGGGGCCATGACCACATGCCTCCCTGATTGCTTTACAGCTTTGAGGACACATGCTTTTCCCATAAATCCATCACATTTGGGCAAATGAAAAAAAGCCGGTTTATCCAATAGTTTGGCAGAGGACACAGCCCGCAGCCTGCAAACAGGCCATGACATGCACTGCACAATATTCATATTCTGTCATTGGTAAATGTCCTGACTTGTCACCATGACCAAAGCTAATTGGATTGGGTGCAAAACTGGAGGCAAGTTTTCCATTGCTCTCCATATGCAGGACTGAAATCAGCCTGGACTAAATTGGGAAATTGTCCCCATGATGGCCAAAAGGCAGAGTCTGGGGGCTCTGCATGCTGTTATGGGTGGTCTCAATACCATGTTCCGTGTGCCAACAGTGTAGAGCGAGGAGCATTTCTGTCTGTACCAAAGGCCACGATTGCACTGGTGTCACACGGTGGCTCTGCCCGTACTGGCAGACGGTGGCAAGTGACTGACGCATTCTCTTTTTCCCCCTCAAGAAATTCATGCTCAGTTCTTAAGTGTGTTGTTTTTTGTCGCTTGAGAAACGCAGAGAAAAACGAGTCTGTTTTTACTTGTAAGGCTTTACTCAGTTGCCCAATTCGGCCGAGGAGCTGGACTATGGGGATCTCTCAGGTAAGGGCTAGTCCGTAGGTAACCCGCTGCTCTCCTTCGCTAGACACTGGTTCCACTCTGATTTCTGCATCTTGGCCATGTTGCATTGTGCAGTCGCTGTGGCACAGCCATTCCCCCCATGCTCTCGCAGCTTGGAAGTGCACTCCTTTCTGTTGGGATTCTCCTCCCTGGTGGGTTTTTTTTTCTTTTCTTTTGGTTTTGGCACCCATTTCTGTGTGGCATCCCTGGGGCAGGAGGTGCAGGGCACCAAGCCAACCATTGTGGTTCCCTCCTAGCTGGGATTTTTTGAACACCGAATTGGAGACTGGTTGAGTTGAACCTTTGTTTGTAAAACAATTGACTGCCATGTGAAACCCCCCTTTAAACATGTGGCTGGCACTAACCCTTGGCTGCTCAGGGATTCCTCATCATAGGAACATCTGATTGGCAGTAAAAAGGAGGTGGTTGTTTCATCAGTGAGGCCAAACCAAGTAAATGGTTCAAGCCTCTTTTTTATCCACACTGGACTGAAAGGGGCATAAATACATCCTCATGGCTGGTCCTTGCCAATTAGCGCTGATTGAGATTAAAGCATAACTGCATCTTCAGTGGATGCAGTTGGGTGCATTCAGAGCAGAGCCTGTACCAGTGGTACAAACCTAAATCTTTGTTCTTCACATTTTCTTATAGAAATGCACCTATATTTCCACTCCTCCTCCCCTTGCAGATCATCCCTGCAGACTCCTGGTACCTGCCGGGCTCTGTGGCTGTGCACAGCTGCTCCAACACAGGGTGCACAGTCCTGGCCATAGGGCAGGAGCAGCCATTTGTCCCCCTGGGAAGAGCCCAGCTCAGGGGGTTGGAGCCCAGTGCTATTCCTCTTGGGGGTTCACCATGGAGCAAAACAATACCCCAAAAAACCCCCAAGTCCTCATCTTATTCCATTGAATGGTTCCCTCACCCAACCAAATCGGGAACATCTCATCCCATAAGCCACTACAGGTGTGCTGTGGCCAAGAGGTCAGAAATGATGGATTCATTCTGGATGTTTTCTAACATTGAGCAATGCTAATAATTATTATTGCAGGCCCGGGACAGATCCCATAGGTAAGATGCACCAGGGCTTTGGTGAACATCCCTGAGTGGATGGGAAAAATTATTTTGCTCTAGTAAGTTCTTTTGCTTTTTAAAATTCTATTTTTTAAGGAAAAATACACTTTTTGGTGAATGAAGAGAAGAACCTGAAAAATATTCCTAAAAGGAGTTGCCCGGAATGGGTGTTTGCTCCCTAGCCTGTGCTGCCTGGAGGGGCTCACAGCATTCTTGGAGCACACAGCTCAGTGTAGTCCTTTTTCTGAGTCTGGAGTGGAAGCCAAAATTTCCCCCACCTTTACAGAACGCAGCTCAGGCAGAGCCGCTGCCCACAGCAAGCACCTGTCATGTGCTGCCGAGCAGCCTTTTTGGAGCTTCTGTTTTGGCTACTGATTTTTTCCCTAAGAATTCCAAAATTT